GTGTTGGTCGTGCCACTTGTTGGTTAACCCCTTTAATGCCAGGCAGGCCTGTAATAGTTGTCATTTTATTACAGTCTCCTCTAGGTATAGGAGGGGGATAAGAAACTGGAGATGCACGCAAACACATAAAATAAGTTACACAGCAAAGCTTTTTTCTTTCTTTTTCTCTCTCCCTGCACATGAGTCAAATAATTTGCATGCCTTTTTTAACAGCGTGGATAACAATGTCCATGTGTTGCCCTGAAGGGTCACAACCCAGTCCCTGGTCAAGCAGCGTTGGGTGATTTAAACCCCTGGCTGTATTGTGTGGGGTTTTTTTCGGGGGGCCATAGTAAGTGGAGCAAGGACCCCTCTGCGGTGTCTGTGTGCCTATGAGGCCCTCTGGAAGACCTGCTCCAGTGCAGAGAAAGAAGAATTGGTGGGGGAGAAAAAAAAAATCAGAGTTTGCTTGGCTGATTCTGAACAACCCGCACTGACAAGATGATCTTTTAAAGAGCCACTTAAGACATTTTCACAGACTAAAGAAAAACGTATAGTCCTCCAAGGGAGAATATATTAGACTTCAGAGCGCCATTGTTGTTCACTGGACATCAGATGTGCTCTCGTTTCTGAAATCATTAACAGGCCTCTGCTGAATAAGTCTCAGCACAAGCTTTAGCTCACTCAGCACAGATCTGGTGTGTTTTGCTTTTTTTCCTATTTTTACATTTTTTTTTTTTATTAGTTTATTGCTATGAGGACGGGAGGTCCACAATTCTGTGACAGGCTTACCACCACCACATGTCCTAATCAGATAATTACATTGTTTATTACACTTTTTTTTCACAGATGCCTGTGGTCTATCTGATGTGGCTCATGTGGAAAGTTTGCAGGAGAAATCGCAATGTGCATTGGAAGAGTATGTTAGAAGCCAGTACCCCAATCAACCGACCAGATTTGGCAAACTATTACTCCGTCTACCTTCTCTCCGCACTGTGTCATCTTCTGTCATAGAGCAATTGTTTTTCGTCCGTTTGGTAGGTAAAACCCCTATAGAAACCCTCATTAGAGATATGTTACTCTCTGGAAGCAGTTTCAATTGGCCCTATATGTCCATACAATAAGTACTGAATAGGGACAATGGAGGGCAAAACAAAACAAACAAAAAAAGACTTTGGGGGGTTGTTTGCTAAAACGTTTCTTCTACTAAGGCTGTTACAAGTTTACTTACAGAAGAGGGGGGAAAAAAATTATTGGACTGTGAATTTAAAAAAAAAAGACTATGATGAACTCTCACATAATGCATTTAAAACTGTCTCATTCAGAACAACTTGCTTCTTTTTTTTTTTTTGTAAAAAAAAAATATCAAAAGCAAAAAAAATACAACAGGAAACTTTAGTCATTTTTTTGGTAAAACTCTTAAAACCATCGCTAAAAAAGTGCATTTATGGAATTGTGGAGGAAATTAGCAAAAGAAAGAAAGTTCTTTTTTTCCCCAAATTTTAAATTGTCCTGTGTCTATGTATCTATAGCTGTTTTCTTCTTCCTTTTTTGTATTTTCCTGGTTCCAAACCAGTTTACTCTGTGGTTCTATAAGTTTTTTTTTATATATATATTCTTGACTTAAGAAAAAAAGAAAACTGTATCCTTAAAATTATATGTTCTGTAAAAATTAAAACAAAAGTCCATGAAAGTATCATAGGAAAAAAAATGGAACTTAAATGTTTAAAAGGAACTTAAGTTGGAAGCGCACTTATAAGTGATGAGCCTAATTTAATTATTGAACAGCAGATATGTAATTATA